AAAACCATACCCAACCAAAACCCAAAAAACAAAACAAAAGCCACTAGGGGACTGCTTGTGCTCAGAGCTAGAATAAACCAGGTGTGGTGGTGCACGCCTGTAATCCCAGGACCTGGAAGACTGAGGCAGGAGCTGCCAAGATTTAAAAAACCAAACCATACCCAACCAAAACCCAAAAAACAAAACAAAAGCCACTAGGGGACTGCTTGTGCTCAGAGCTAGAATAAACCAGGTGTGGTGGTGCACGCCTGTAATCCCAGGACCTGGAAGACTGAGGCAGGAGAACTGCCAAGATTGCAGGCCAGCCTGGGCTACACAGTGAGTTCAAGGCCAGCCTGAACTACATGGCAAGATGTGTCTCAAAAAAAAAAAGTAAAAGAGGAAGAGCCAGTATAAAACCTGGACACTTCCCCACACGCTTCTCTCAGGGAGTGATATGAAGAAAATTAGAAAGTGCACCTCCCATTAGGGACCAGGTAAAGATCTATCACTCCTGGGAGGGTAGACTCTGCTCCTGGGAGAGTAGCAGGGAATCTTCTTGAGTTAAACAAGGATCTGCTACCTTTCTAGCTCACCAGAGGGACAGGAAAATATCTTCTGCCCAAGACCCACCTCAAGTGAAAGACAAAATCTGGCTGTAAGGAGAGGCAGGAACACCGAAAAAGCCCTGCTCAAGAGAAGCTTGCCTAACACTGCACCTAAAACAGGAGACCCAAGAACTCCACTTGCCCTTACTAAGAGGTTTGCCCTGTGACAGCACTTGGGGGGCTCCAGCGCCACCCTGTGGCACATATGTGCTAAAGCAGCTGAAAGCTGAAGGTGAAGCAGAAACACTGCAAGCCTTTTAGTAGTAACCTCAAATCCTGAGCAATAGCAGTCACTGCTGAAGGCATGTGAAGCCTATGGTGCATAAGTCCAGCCTTTTCATGGCTGTAATGGAGACTGCTACTCAAAGAATTTTAAGACACTGGGGGAAAAAAACCCACTGTCTAGAGATACAGTAATCAGTGGAACCAGACTCATGTTTTATCAGATAAGAACTTAAAGAAACATCAAATAGAAATGCTAGAAAAGATAGAAAATAACAAGTTTAAGAATTCCTTCAACTGTTTTATTATTGGACACTATGTACTCGAAGAGAGATCAACAGAAATACCAAGCTGAAACACAAAAAGAAAAGGAAGGGGAAGCATCAGAACAGAACATTCAAGATATATACAACATTATCAAATGGTCTAACACAGATATAATTGGAGTTCCAGAAGGCAAAGAGGGAAAGAACAGGGCAAACAAAATATGTTAAAAATTATGGGTAATTATATTCCAAAAGTAAAAAAGAGGATCCAGAAATAAAGACAGCCCAACAGCAAAGAGCACTTTAGTATCCAGATCCAATAAAAGAAATGGCTGATTCCAAGGCTAGTGCATGGGACATAAAAGATACGCTCAAACTATCTCACTCTGGAAGCAAGAAAGTGCTGAAAGAATAAAAGTGACATGTCAAAAGACAAAGGAGCTACACTGAAGGGACTCCTCCTAGTCAAACTGGGGACACCATGAGCATCAAAGTAATGTCAGTAGCCAGGCGTGGTGGCGCATGCCTATAATCCCAGCACTCGGGAGGCTGAGGCAGGAGGGCCGCTGTGAGTTTGAGATCAGCCTGGGCTACATAGTGAGTTCCAGGTCAGTCTCAACTACATAGTGAGACCCTGTCTCAAAAAACCAAAAACAGAAAAAGAAAGAAAGAAAGAAAAAAATATTGTCAGTAACAGATTAAACCCATTATGAAAAATAAAAAACAAAAATGAATGAATAAACCAAAGGTTTGATGAATAGGATAGTTATAGTTTCATACTACTCCAAAAAAGTATTAATCACAAAGAGGGAAAATAACTTTCACAGAGGAGAAGCTGCCAGATACCACCTCAATCAGGGCATCATGGTGAACACCATGAGTTACGAGACAAACTCAAATCATGCACCCCTCACTGGATTCATTGGGGAAATCGCAGCATCACTTCTCTCACATCTCTACCATAGATGCATCTAACAGTGAGGAACCATCAGAAAAGTCAAAGCTGAGCAGATTCTACAAAACAATTCACCTGTAATCTTCAAGATTGTCAAGGACATGAAGGTCAAGGAAAGTCTGAGTAACTATTGTGGACTAAAGGAGTCACATGAGACAATTAAACCTGACATGACTATGGACTGGATTCTTCTGTCATAAAAAAGTACTATCGGGGGCTGGGATGTGGTAAAGTGCTTGCTTGGTACATGCCAGGCCCTGGTTTCAATCCCTAGCACTGTTTGGGCAGGGAGGTTTCATCTACTGATTTGATCTGAACTTACTTTTACTTCAATGTGGTTAAAAAGCTTTCATTAATATTTCCTGATGGTGGCTAATTATTGGTACTGGTAATTTTCATTTTGGGTGGGGGGTACTAGGGATCGAAATCAGATCCTTGTGCTTGTGAGGCAGACAGCAGAACCACTGAGCTAAATCCCCAGCCTGGTAATTTTCATTTTTAAAATTTTGTATTTTCTAAATGGGCGTGGTGATACATGCCTGCAATTCCAGCTACTTGGGAGGCTGAGGCAGGAGGACAACAAATTTGAGCCCAGCCTAGACAATTTAGTGACTTAATGAGATCCTACTTAAAATAAAAAATACGAATTAAAAAAAAAAGGGTGGATATGTAGCTCAGTGTGAAGGGCCCTGGGTTCAATCCCCAATACCACAAACAACAAACAAAAAACCCCAAAATAAATAAAAACCAGAAAAGCTGTGAGTCAAGATTTGTGGCTAGTTGGGCTCAAAAACCAGCGAAGGCAGGCAGAAGCAGCAGAGATAGAGCTCAGAAGCTAGTTTAATTTGACTTCAAATCATCATTTTTGAAGAAGTAGCAATAGAGTCAGATATGATAACACATATAGAATACATAAATTCATATTTACTAGAAACACGGACAGGAAACCATTAGCTATTTCTGAAGCATGGAATTGTAAGAGACTATCTTTCTATCTTGTTTGTAGTGGTGATGTCTGAATACTGTAAAATGAACATGCATGTAATAAAAAAAAACAATAGAGACTAAAAACATAAAAAAGCAAAATACTTCTGCAATTTTTTTAAAGAAAAAAGAAGTGTAGGGTAGAAACATTAAACTCAACAGTGGTTAACTCCTTCAGGAAAAAATGGAGAGCCCCGAAGGGTGAAAATGTTCCATGAGCCTGGGGGTAACAACAGACTAGATATAACTTAGCAACATGAGACAGCAGAGAACTTACTATTTTAAGCCACACACACTCAAATCTCATATCCCTGATGGAGGAGGCCCAAAAAAGGTTTCAAGAGTATTTCAGCTTTGCTTCATTAGTTTGTAGTTCCAAAAAGAGATAGCTATTCAATTTAGTATATTAATTTTGGGCAGTCTCAGTACTTTTTTCCTCAGAGAACATATAAACCAAAAAAGTCTCAGAGTAAAGACCAAAAGCTATCTGTGTCTTCAGGAATCTCTACTGTCCTTAATCAGGAGTATGACCACATAATGTGTGGTTCAGGAGAGATAATCTTCTGAAAGCTGACCCAGCCATACAGATGACTCAGATCTTATAAATCCAGTAAAAGATTTCAGACCATTTTTCAATACACCAATTTATCTGGAGTGGTCTGAATATGGTTGGAAACGTACTATCACATCATTGATGATGACTTAAAAGAGGAGATTTTACAAGGGAGTGGGGGCAGTGTGGTAGTACACACCTATAATGTCAGCACTCTGGGAGGCTAAAGCAGGAGGATCATAAGATCTAGCCCAGTCTATGCAACTTAGCATTATAGAGACCCTACCTCAAAAAAGAAAAGACTGGGGAAATGCAGCTTAGTGCTAAGGTCCTGGGTTCAATCCCCAGTACTGGGGGTGAAGGGAGAGATTTGGAAGATTATGGGGGACATTTTTGGTTGTCATAATGATTAAGGGAGGTGTTATTGGCATTTAGTGAGCAAGGTCAAGGATCTGGACATTCTGTTTTTTGTTTTTTTCTCATTGAGTTTATTGGTACATTTTAGGTATACAGTACAGTTACATTCATTATTGGGATACATTCTGAAAACATAGTACACAACTGCTTACAACAAAAAACTATGCTAGCCAGGTGTGGTGGCACACTCCTGTAATCCCAGTACTTGGGAGGCTGAGGCAGGAGGATAGCCATGAGTTTAAGCCCAGCCTGAACTACACAGCAAGAGCCTATCTCAAAACAAAACAACTACGACAAAAACAACAACAACAAAAACCATGCAATTCCAATTTGCTATAATTTTCTAATGTCCCAGTGGACTTTCACGTGGGTAAAAATTTATAATTATCTGAGTTTAGCATCTAATTCTACCCTATACCCTAACAAAATTATTTTTATAGATTTTTAAAAAAAATCCAAAATAAAGTTTTTCCAGGGATGCAGCAATTGTGTAAATCAAAAGAAAAGTCATACTTTCCACTGTGGTTGTTATTCATAAATTTACTGAGTCATTTACTATTTTCAGAAAAATCATGTACTTCGGTAATGCTGCTCTGATGCTCTGGAACTAACAACACATTTCCATCTATCTGCACTTACGGCATTCTCATTCATGCTGTAAGGACAAATATTTCACTATCTTACTACTCTTGTGCCCAAGCATTTACATATTGATTTTTTTTTTTTGGAGACAGGGTCTCACTATGTAGTTGAGAATGACTTGGAACTCACTATGTAGCCTAGGCTGGTCTCAAACTCATTGCGATCCTCCTGCCTCAGCCTCTCAAGTGCTGGGATTACAGGCATGTGCCACCATGCCTGGCTTGAAATTTTTTTATAAATTACTTTCCTTTTATTCCTCCTTCATATTTCAGTTACGATTTTGTTTATTTTTAAGACATGAGCCAGGTATGGTGATGTATACCTGTAATGCTAGCACTTTGGAAGACTGAACCAGGATGTTTATACAACCTGGGCAGTTTAGGGGCTTATCTGAGATGCTGTCTCAATATAAAATAAAGGGCCGAGGATGTAACTCGGTATATACCGAGAAGGCCCTGGGTCCAATCCCCAGTACCACCACCACACACACAAAATTATATGTATCTAGGTATGTTATAGCTCAATTTCATTAATTCAGGATGATGAAAGTACTTAAAAAAATAAAAAGGAGATGGTAAGTCTACTAAGAATGGGAATCATTAGTCTAAAGCAATCATGGTAATTCTGGTCTCTTGACAGAACTGGTGAAGCACAGGCATGTGATCCAATTCTGCTGAATGAGACACCAGATGGAGTATCCTGGAGACTTACGGGAAAGGTTTCCTTATGCTTGGGAAAGAGGAAGAAATGGTATATCTATTTCATGTCAGTTATTGGATCTGCCTCCATAGTGTGCTCACTTTACCTCAAGCTGATTATAAAGATAAAGTGAGCACACTATGGAGGCAGATCCAAGAAGTCAGAGAAGGGAGATGGAAGTCCTGAGAAACTTGAACTGAAGCCTGCCTTCCTGCTAGACTTTTAGCTACGTAATGTAATGTATTCCTTCATGTGTAAGTCAGGTGGAATCCAGTTTCTCTCTTATTTGCAGCTGAAAGCAGCTTAACACATAAGATTGCCTTGTAGAAATGATACTGGAGGGGCCAAGGATTTAGCTCAGTGGTTCCTGCCACCTGCCTCACAAGTGCAAGGTCCTGAGTTTGATACCTGGTACAAACAACAACAACACAAAAACAAAACAAAAACAGCTCATGATGTAGTTAGAATCCATTGAAAAATGACAGTGGAAAGGAAGGTCGGGGAAGTGAGGAAAGCATATGCTCACTTACACTGTTAAACTTACACTGTTAAAGCATATGCTCACTGTATACACTGTGAGATCTATTAGCTATATAACCTTGGACAAATTACTTAAGCTCTCTGAAGCTTGGATTTCTCATATACAAAATGGAAAAAGGAATTCTTGCTTCATATGGCATTTCAAGAATTAATGAAGTAACACTTCAGCTGTTAATTGAATGCTGGAATGTTATAAGCACTCAATATCTGGTGGCAATTATTAACTACTGTTATTAAGAGGAAAACGGAAAAGGACTCACAGCAGTCTGAGCAGTGATGTGTGTACAACCCACAATTTTGGCTCCAGCCAAAGGCTTTTCTCCTTGAGCTCTCTTCCTCAAAGCCATCAGTGCAGGCATTTCTGAAAAGGCCCAATGCAAACAAAACAATATTAGAAAGGAGGGAATAAAAGGTAAAGGAATAAGTAGAAAAACTTACTCTCTTTGGTTAAGATCCTTCTCTGTTGGATTTGGTTTCTCAGGACATGAAGACAATAAACCTGAATTTTCTTTTATCAGGGAGCCCGAGGCAAATGCTCCAGGGTTGTGATGCCCTGTATACCTTCCTGCTTAGGGGTTCCTTCTAGACCAACAGGCTTCATTTCCTTATAGTGTTTCCTGAGCTCAGACTCTTCTGTTATAAGCACTCTTCAGTGTCACCCTGAAATTTCACCAGCTACCAGATCCAGGATGTATAAAGGGATTAACATGGACAAAAAGTAATAGGCCAAGAAGAGAAGGAAAGATGCCTGCTTTCTTTACCTTGTTCAGCAATTTCAATTTCTCTTCGTCCAAACTCTGCCTGCTTGATATTTTTGACACAGAAGTCACTGCTTCCCTTTGAGTTCTTCTGCTGCTTGTCCCTGGGGGATGTCTCATCATCAGAGCTGTCTGTATACGAAGCCGCTGGAATAACAGGAAAGACTCTCAGTGGGGAAAATGGCTTTTTTGAAGATTCCAAACTATAGGGGAAATTGAGGCTTCTCTAGTCATAAGCTCTATATGAATTTATACCTCTGGGAAGTACCTAAATGGAACCATGGTGCTGTCCCAAGTATCTCCTATGGAAAGTGCTATCCACAGGTCAGAAAATGGAAGCTGAGAGAGGTGGACAAAGGCATTCTCCCTGTTTAGCATTGAGCTGGAATCTAAGTCTGATTTTATTTTTAGAACATTTATTGACTATGTGATGAATGAATGAATGAATAAACAAATAATTTAAGAAGCCGTCACATCATGGTAGCAACAAGCTAAAAAAATTCCTAATATTAAGAAAGTGGTCATTGACCTATGGGTTTCTGAGATCCCAGCTACCTTCCTCTGTCTGCTGTTTAAATGCCTTCTGTGATTTTTGTATTATAAGACCTAGAAAACAAGGAATCCATGAGAAAGTAATTAAGAACCACACAAAAAGTGTTTGTATGATACAACAGAGCTTTCTTTTCAGGACTGGCTCTGATGAGGCTGAACTATGCCTGCAGATCCAATTAGACATTGACAATGAAATAAATATTCACTGTGCTCACCCTTCTTGCTGGTCTCAGTAGGTTTTGCATTAGGTGTTTAAGATTCCCAAAGCAGAGAATAAATCCTCTTTTATAAAGTAAAATGCTCTGATGACTAGTCCATTTAGCAATATATATGAGAGTTAAAGGTCCAAGACTTCTGAATGTGGCCACTGTGGCTACCGTTACTGCTATTCATGTTTAGCTGAAGTCTTTTTTTAGTCTTCATATAATATTGTAGTTGCTAATTATTTGTTGGATGACAATACAATTTCTTTCTTTAGTTTTTTTTTTTTGTTTTTTGTACTGGGAATCGAACTCAGGACCTCACACTTACAAGGCAGGCGGTGGCACCACTGAGCTAAATCCCCAGCCTGCCTTCCTTCATTTATATTTAAGTTTTAGGAGCTAGTTCCTCCTAACTCACAGTTTTAGAGGAATGGGGGATATAAAGCACTATCTATAACGCATTTTATATCTCTCAATGAGATGAGAAGTACTGCCATCACTTCATTCCCCACCATACCCCTTATACTGGGGATTAAATTAAATTTTTGTACTATGCTACATTCCCAGTACTTTATTTTTTGAGAGAGGGTCTCACTGAGTCACTAAGTTGCCCAGACTCAGCTCAAACTTGGGATGGATCTTCCTGCCTCAGCATGTTCCACTATGCCTAGCCTGCCATCACTTTCAAGGGGAGAAAGCTGCAAAAGCCATAACTCTTAGAGTCTATGGTGCTCTGATCTACCTACTTCTAGAGACTTAAGGCATTTCTGGGATTTCTTAGCAGGGGGTCTGTCTCTGGGGGTGCTGTAAAAGGCAAGTCTGACCTTGTCTAGTTAATCAACCATGGCACTAAACACTATTGGGGCAGCAGGGGCTTGGCGATCTCTGGAACTGGAAATCCGCCCTGGAACAAAGTCCTAACACGAGGCTACAAGAATGAACACGGGCACCATGGGAGGTGAGGGAATTAGTAAACCCCCAAAAGGGACTTTTGTTCTTGAAAGGAACTAATCTGTACAAAAAGTTTCTGGTTCCCCTCCTAGTGTGAGAGAGAGATCAAAGTACTTCTGGCAACAGAGCCTAGAAACAGCTTTCTGGGCAGTCATGTTTCACCAATCAATACTCTGATACAGCTTAGGAGTTAGAGGATTAAGGGAACCATACTTTCCCACCTGCCAGAAGAAAGGTAACAGTCTTCCCCAATCTTGATCCAAATTTGCAAAGAAAGTACTTTGGAAGAAATATTCAGAATATTTTGTAATTTCAAATCTTTTTCCAGAGGCATGATGATTTTTACATTCCCCATTAGCCATTTAAATATTATTTTGAACTTGAGCTGACTTTGGTTGAAGTTTCAATCTGTTTCTTTGTGTAGAGATGACAGCACAGCCTATTTAATAATTTATTTACATGTTCAGTCACTCACACTTGCAGTTGGTCATTTAGAAACTTTAAATATATATCTGTCTGTCTGTCTATCTATCTATCTATCTATCTATCTATCTATCTATCTATCTATGTATCTATCTATCTATCTATATGTATATGTTATATATAAGGTCCAGGTGCTATCTATCTATCTATATGTATATGTTATATATAAGGTCCAGGTGCTACAGGAAGTACATGACAGATATTGATGATCCTTACCTTCATGGAGTTTTCAGTCTAGTAGGTGAACCAGATATGAAAGAACTAATTACAAAATTAATTATGTAGAGGTTTTTTTCTAATACAGTTGTAATGTGTGCTACAAAGCAGAAATCAGAATGCTGTAAGACTATGTAACAATTTGTCAGGGCTGTTCAGTGGGAGAAGACTTTCCTAGTATGCACAAGGCCCTGGGTTTGATCTCTAGTACTTCAAGAAACAAACTAATAAAACAAAAAACTTACTAGAAATTGTTGAGATACAGTTAAGTTCCCCTGACTTCTGAACAATCGAGTTGCAAACTTTCACAGATACCAACAGACCTCACATTATGAACACTAGCAGATGGGAACAAATCCCTGAAGTAGCTCATGTGTCTGCTGGACACTGTCACAGTTGTGCTGCTGTGTGCTCACAGTACAGTGTGACAGTGTACAGTATTTCCGTGTGTGTGTTTGGGGGTTTTTTATGCTTCACATTGTATATTTGTACTGAAAGAGTATAAGACTCACGCTGTTGAACTTACAAATGAATCTGACTTACAAACATTCCTCCTAGAATGGAACTTGTTAGTAAATTGGGGACTTAGTGTACTATAAGTAAAGTGGTTAGTACAATGCATGCCACATAGTAATTAAGCATTCAATAAATGATGCCTCATATCATTTCTCAGCTTTGGGCATATTGTAAATTTAGTACAGATGTATCATCTGTAAGGGTTATGACTCAGCTTTAGAATTTTGAATGGAAAAGATGGACATATATAGAAAATTACTTAGCAGTTTCTTTTTTTTTTTCCTACTTCCATCATCTCCTACTAATCCACTAAAGCAGCAGGTGATTGGTTGGTAGTGATTAAAAAGGTTGAGACTGGAGCCCTAAATACCCAGAATAGCACTCCCTTCCTATTCCTCTTTATCTCTACCCTCCTATGTCTCTTTATTGTCTAAGGATGAGTTGGGGCAGAGGATGGGGGAAAAACAAAAAGCAAAAGTAAATTAAACAAATAAAACTGTCTCTTAAGAAAAGCACTCCAATTCTTTTTTGGTTTGAGTTTTTTTTTTCTTTCTTTTTCCATTTCAAAGAACAAAATTGTTCATATCATTTTCTTATTCTAAAACCTGGAAAAAATAGCATCGTACTTTCTTAACAGTAGTCAATTTGTTATACTTAGTTCAACCAATGTTTTTCTTTGAGCCAAAATAGATTTTTCAAAAAGTCTTTTATAAAGATCTGCTGTTAAGTAAGAACCAAAAGTAGCAATTGTGTAGACTGTTCTAATATGGGGATAGGACATGGCTGACAGATCTAGACCAAAGAATGTGTTATTTTTGCAAACACAATTATCCTTCAAAGAATATAACATTTATTCATTTAGTTTTTAAATTCACATTTATTTCTGCCACTGAATTTAAGGTAGCATATCCAGGGGCTACAGGTGTTGCTCAGTGGCTGAGTGCTTGTACAGCATGTACAAGACCCTCGGTTCCATCTCCAAAACTGCAAAAATAAATGTGTACATATATAATAAAATAAATTAATCAAGTTGAGTCTAATTTCAATGTGGGTAGTGAAGTCTAATCAGTCCAGCTCTAAGTTCAGGCAAAGGGAGCATGGTTCACTAGTAGAGCACTTGACTCGCATGCAGAAGGCTGTGGGGTTCTGCAAATACCAAAATCAAAAATAAAGTAGCACATTCATGAAAATAACTGAGATAACATTAAGGTTCTTCCCACGAAAATTTAGGGAAACCCTTTCCCCTTGTTACCACCAGAAAAATCTTACAAGCTAATACTCAAAAGTGGTTGTCTATAGGTAGAAACTTTACTGTGAGATGTTCTTGTTTTGCGATTTTCCAGAATTAAAACACAACTCAATGACATTTTAATTCACAAGCTACTACATAAAACATGCATACACATGTTCTATGGTTCACACTTGATTTAGTTAGCCTCACTGCCCACTGGCTGTGATACTGTGGGTTACTGCTAGAAGAGCAGTCAGAATTCTGGTTGAATTAGTTTTACTAAATCACTGTAAGTCTGGCAGCTCCTTTTGGGCCCAATCTATTTATTTGGTAATGCAGATAATAGTAGGGACCCATGTGTCAGTGTGCAGATTTCATTGACAAATAACACTTTAGATATCTGTGAAAAACTGTTAGCAATTAAAACACAAACAAATAAAGCTGTGTCATTTGGAAAAATTTGAAGATATCTTAAACTTTCTAAAGCACCAAACCTGAATATGGAACTTCTGTCTTCCCTCCTCATCCTTACCACAAAGACAGCTTTTTTAGAAATATAACTTTGAGAATGATCTGACTTTGAAGAAAACTCTTCTGTTCATTTGTTTTCTGATGTTTTTGCTTAAGAAAATGATTTTAGGAGTTTATTTCTTATAAAAGAATTTTAGGGGTTAATGCAGCCTTTTTGAACCTAGGTTCCCCTAGAGCTAAGTTCCAAAACTTTGAAAGGTTTATTGTAGAATTAACTTTTCTCCCACACATTTAGAAAGGAATTAGTAATGCAACATCTTATCAAATCATTGTCAAATCTTTGTCTGTGTTCTGCAGTGCAGGTGGGGAACCTTGGTTCCTAAGTGAAAGTGTGGCAAAACTCAACATTAGGATCATTAGGAATAAAGAGAGGCCCCATTGCTTATTTAAGCCTCTATGTAAGTTAAGCAAAATAAGTATCATATGAACTGGTTATTATAATTCTGAAAGGTATCTCTCTCTCTCCATGTATACACACACACACACAGAAATACACACATACATACATATACAATATACATACATATAAACACACATATATTCATAAATCTATTTACATATATAGAATGTATTAAAAACATCAACAGTGTATAAAGTATATTAAGGGTGTCTCTGGGGCTAGGGGTATAGTTCAGTGGTAGACCATTTGCTTAGCATGTGTAAGTCCCTGGGTTCTAACTCCAATGCTGGTTGATGGTAGGGGAAAGGCCTGACCTGATTTATTTTAGAAGAATAAATTGGCTGCAAAAGTTGAAAATACCCTAAAGATGGGAAAGGCTGGAACTCAGGAAATCAATTTTTGGACAGAAAGTTTTAATTACTGATAAAACCTAAAACATTTAGGACTGAGAGGGCAGTTGAATATAGGAATCTAATGTACAGGGAGAAGAAATGAGCAGAAAATAAAAGGCTCAAACACAAATACACAGCATTTAAAATTGTAAAACTGAATGACATTACTTAGGGAGAGAGTATCTAAACCAAAGAGGGAAAAGTCCAGAGGTCAGTTTTTGGGATTCCTCAATATTAATTTCCATAGCTATTTAAATTATAATACATGCTGAAAATGGGTCTAAACTTTCTATCAACATGCATTTGAGGGTTTTTTTTCTTTCTTTTTCTTTTGGTACCGGGGATTGAACTCGGGCCCCTTCGCTTAGAGAGGCAGGCACCAGAACCACTGAGCTAAATCCCTGGCCCTCAACATGCATTTGTATATCAGTTCTGAGTTAATTCTGCTATTCCTGGCTTTCCAATCAGTGGGCACAACAGCTTTCAGTCCATTTCATATAACTTCCCACTGTCTTTGTTATGAGTGCGTGGGATGCACCCTTTTCCAGGTTCTCCTAACAATTCATACATGGATCAAACATTAGAAACTAGGGCTTGTCTAACTCCCAGTACCAGAAGCAAGACAGGAGGAAATCTCCATTGAGAATTTATTTGAAAGGGCTTTTCATGTGAAGGTAACAAAACAGAAACTATAACCACCAATAAAAGAGGCAACTCTGTGTGTGTGTGTGTGTGTGTGTGTGTGTGTGTGTGTGTGTGTGTGTGTGTGTAGGGTTGATATAGCTGCTTTAAGCAAATATCTTAGATTTAATTTTAAAAGCACCGAGTTTATGGAACCAACTCTTCTTATAGATTAGGCTAATCATATTTGGAATATTATTTACACAGATATAATATTTTAAGAAGACACAATCTAGAATGCATCTAGATGAGCATAATAAAGGATAGTAGAATGGCTCAAAAATCAGATAATCAAAAATGCTTTTATTTCTAAGTAAAATCTTTCCAGGGATTACATAAAATCTTATCAGATAAGTAACTAGATAAAGCAAAGAGCACCCTGTCATGTAAAATGCCAGCAAAAAGGGCCAGGGATTTAGCTCAGTGGTGCCACTGCCTGCCTTGAAAGCACAAGGTCCCGAGTTCAATCCCTGGTACCAAAAAAAAAAAAAAAAAAAAAAATCAAATTAAAATGCCACCACAGACACCAGGTGGGGAGACAGCAGCAGCCAATAAATTATAAGATCATTTCTACTGCCAGGCTGTTTTGACTACCACGGTTAAATTTAATATTCGTAAGTGGATACATTAGGTCAACAATTTCTGACTTTCTTTTTCCTTTCCTCCCTCCACCTTTTTCTCCCTCCTTTCCTTCCTTCCTTCTCTGACTTCTTTCCTGATTTTCTTCTTGCCCCTCTTTCTCTCTCTCTTACCCAGGGGCACTCTACCACTGGGCTATATCCCCAGCAATTTTTTGAGTCAGGGTCTCACAAAATTGCCCAGGCTGGGGCCAGGGATTTGGCTCAGTGGTTCTGCCACCTGCCTTGCAAGTGCAAGGGCACGAGTTTGATCCCTGGTACCACAAAAAAAAAAAAAAAAAAAAAAAAGCCCAGGCTGGCTTTGAACTTCCGATTCTCCTGCCTCAGCCTCACAAGTAGCTGATTACAGGACTGTACCACCATACCCAGATAAAAATGGAAATCTCATATGCTTCAATCTAACAGGTCCAGGCAACTCTATGTTTACTTAGAAACCAAGGGCATGCATTGTCTACATTCTTCTAGGTACAGGGATGTTTTGTAAGTACTCTCTCTGCAGTAGGGGGCTTGGGTAGAAATGTAGGCGTTGGTGTCCTCTGCAGGAACACAGTTGGATACATGGATCTAGTTGTGTAGGGAAGAGATAGAGCTTGAGTTAAAATTTAGAACCATTACTATTAATCTTTTTTTTTTTAATTTTTTTTTATTTTTGGTTTTTGGTTTTTGTTTTTTGAGACAGGGTCTCACTATGTAATTGAGACTGACCTGAACTCACTATGCAGCCCAGGCTGGTCTCAAATTCACAGTGATCCTCCTGCCTCAGCCTCCCAAGTGCTGGGATTACAGGTATGCACCACCACACCCAGCTAAGTATTAATCTTTTATGGACTAACTCATGAAACTAAAAGGTTCAGTTGACATTTTCACAGTCATTATGGCTTTCAGAATTATTGTAACCAGTTCATAAATTTTTGACACTGTTTATTTTACCAGAATAGGACAGATATAAAACTCCCTATTTTTAGATAAAAATCCACAGGAATTTTTGTCCTATGTCTTACATCATGCTCAATTATTGTATGGAGAAAATAAAAAGTAGGTAAATAACAATCTATTCAAACTAAATGCTACAGCTTCTCAAACAGTTGTTCTTTTTTGTCTGTTTTTTGAGGCAGAGCTTCCTTATGTAGTTCAAGCTGGCCTTGAACTTGCCACAATCCTTCTGCTGTGGTGCCTTGAGTGCTGGAACTATAGGCATATACCACTACGACCAACTCTAAACAATCTTTCTTTACCAAATACTACTTCCCTATTTGTGTGAAGAACAAATAAAATTTCAGCTCATGATAAAAAATTTCTAATGAATATTACTATTTATAATGTGATCAGGTAACTAGGGAATACTCTGGGCTCCTACTCATTCTAACACAAGAACAAAATTAAACAGCTCCATATTAGATCAGACTCATACTGCTGCACAAATAGCCAGTGCCTTTAAGGAATTCCACACAGCAATAATTCATGTGACATTAAATGACAGCTCAGTTCCAGGGCACTTATATTTGAACTAATGCCACTGCAAAGGAAGGAGAGAAGACAGAGGGCCCACTTGCTTGAAATAGCTATGATGTCTGCACTGCTTCTTGGAATAATTGAGGTTTTCCCATTAATTCTCAAGAACCAGATGGAGGAATGGGAATCTCCTTTTTATTTTCAAAGGATAGAAAAATAAGTCTTTTTACATGCTGGTCAGTGAAGGTCATCAATGAACTACATATTCCAATCCTTCTGAGATCAACTCAATTTTGTCAATTACCCTCTTTGGCTTCTCTTGGAAGAAAAGGCCTCCTTTCACCTCTACTTTGAATTCCCAAGAGAAAACCAAAGGTTCCATTAAGAATTTTGGTTTAGCCGGGCATGGTGGCACACGCCTGTAATCCCAGCACTTGGGAGGCTGAGGCAGGAGGATCCTGTGAGTTTGAGACCAACCTGGGCTACACAGTGAGTTCCAGGGCAGTCTGAACTACATAGTGACACCCTGTCTCAAAACACCAAAAAAAAAAAAGAATTTTGGTTTAAATTTTGACTCCAAGCATTTTTTCAAGGCAAAGGCTTGGGCTGGGGATTTAGCTCAGTGGTTCCGCCACCCGCCTTGCAAACATGAGGACCTGATGTTCCATCCCCGGTACCAAAAAAAAAAAAAAAAAAAAAAAAAATAAAAAAAAAAAAAAAAAAAAAAAAAAAAAAAAAAGCAAAGGCTTAATCAAGCATAATTAGCCTTGGATAGATGGGAGGATCTGTTGATCACACCTTTTAGCCTTGACAGGTGGGTTTGTGACTGCACTCACCTGAGCTGTAACTGTCAGTAGATGACTGAGAAATTGAACGAGACAGAGAGCGACGTCCAATTTTGGTGGGACGTTTGTTGAATTCTTGCTTCTGGTCAGCAAACTGGATCTGCTAAGAAAAAGAACTTTAGTAATTTAAAGAGAAAGAAATTCAATTTTGAGACACCAACTCAAAGCCTGCATTATTATAGGCTTTTATTTTTCCAAAACTCTTCCACGAGAAGATACTTCTTCATTCTTCACCTACTGTAGTTCTATTCAGTTTAAATTTGATCTACTCTCTGATCTCCTTTGTACAATAAAGTTAGACCAAAAAAGAGAGAAAGAGATGTTTTAGTTTGAATTAATTTTTAAGGTATTCAATCATATTTAGAAACCCTTTGTATGCACAAAAAATTAAAGTTGGAAAGAATCTTTGAGAATGTATGTACATCCACAACCTTCATATACTTAGAAAACTGTGAGGTATAAAAAGTAAAATGACTTGTTTTCAGGTTTCAAGATTCTTAGGAAATGGTTTGGTATGTTAATTTTGAAAAAGGCTTTTCATTCAGACAGAACATCCTGGAATTGCACCGAAATCCTGGTTATGCCACTCATAGCTGTTTTTTTGTTTGTTTGTTTGTTTTCCCCGTTAAGTTTATTGGTACGTTCAAAGCAAACAATACAGTTACATTCATCATTGGGATCTTGTACCTTTACATGACAGGTCTTGTGTTCTTATTTTTTTCCCCTTGTCCCTGCCTTCCTTTCATCCCCTTCACCCTTTCCTATTTGCAAAGATTTTGTTTCCATTTTTTCCTTTTTTTCACATTTTTTATTTTCCCTTATTTTCTTTCCCCTCCCCTTCCCACTTCCCCTTTAGCCATTTTCTTCTTATTTCACACAATCAATTATACATTTGAACCTTATTTACATTTTTAGTTTTTCACACCAGAGTAACTATTTGGTATTTACTCAAGAGTGTCCTATTTATTTCACTTAAGAGTATAGCCTCAGTTGCATCTATTTAGCATAGCTGTTTGATGTTAATCAAATGAGCATCATTTTCTCATTAATACAAGAGAGAAAAGCATTTACCTCACAGGTTTTAGAGAGGGTTCAACGGTACAATGCATATAAATGATAAAACACAGGCGAAGATTCAGTAAATTCACTCCCCATCTTCCCCTACACTTTAGTGTTCTTATAAGACTTACAGGTAGCCACTTTAATTTATTAAAGACTTTCTAAAATGTTTTAGCTACCTTTCTGGTATTACTAAGTAAATATTAATGCATTATTTTTGTTTGGCATCATAAAATACCTAGAAGCCACAAACTTGCTCACTTATTAACTATAACATAATTATACAAAAAGTGAATGACTGGACTGAATAAACCTCAGGTCATATTCTGTAGGCTGCATTTGGACAATATCTCCTAATGACCTTCTTGCAATTTTATCTCTATCTCTTGCAGCTGAAGGTTCCCAGCTGACACATTATAATAATTTGTAAAGCAAAGCCGTATCACTTACTGAGTCGATAACTTTTTCTTTCCCTAATTGAATGCATAATTGTTTGATTGGTCTTCTGGAGCAAAGGTGGCTCAGAGGAAGGTGTACTGAAAAGGATAAAAGATTTCACAACTAATTACATCTTCAATGATAAAAAGATGGATCCTTGATGGACAAAACACAGATACAGCATACCAGAATGAAAGCAGCAACTGATAGCTACACTTCCTGTAGATAGAGGTAGCTTCTAAGCCATCTGAGTATTGAAACAAGGGAACCAATGCCAAATGAATTAGTTTGGCATTGACTGCCTCTTAGGGGAAAATAAAGTCTGCATAGTGCTTCAGAGTTTGCAAGTTATTTTCAGCAACAGAAATATTCATTGGGTTAGAAGCTCATCACAAAATGAAAAATGACAAATTCGATTATTGTGTTAAAGTAGCAATTTATTACAAAAAGATAAAGCCTTTTCTATGTACTCTCATGAGATGCACATGAACTTTCATGTGCTTCTCCTAGTACAGAATTCATAACACAGAATATAACCATCTGTCTACCTGCCTTACTCTATACATTACAAGCTCCATAAAGGCAGGGGCTGGGTACCTTATTCACCTTATATCCTCAGACACCAAAGCCTCACATATCCTAGGCACTCAATCATGTGTTGAATTGATGAACCTGAAGTTTCTTATTCTATTTTTAGTTTGTACTTGGTTAAATATTAAGTAAACATAAGCCAAGTCTAAAATTAAAAGTAATTTTTAAGGACAAGAAAAGATCGGAAAGTGAAGGAAAGGGTGGGAAGCTGGGGAGGTGGATCCAGACAGGCTCAAAACTGGCATTCATTTCACCAACCTTGTTCACTGTAGTCACGTGTCCTTATTCTAGGAAAAGAATAATTGACTTCCCAGGCCACATTTAGTCACTAACTTAAGCAGTGCCTTCCCCCAAAAAAGACCCCAGACAAACGCTGCCTCCAATATAGAATATACCCCAAGCACTAGCATACAATCACACAGGTACACACAAGCACACACTCACATACATACTCCACTAGAGGGGGCCACTCCCATTCTCTACATCTGTAGGACTAGGGTGAGTCCACATCTGTTTATCCCAGTTACACTGCCGTCTCAAATCAGTTTCCCTAAGCCAGTGATGGCGAACGTTCTTGAGATTTCAATGATACAAAGAGTCCACTGCAGCCTTGTGCCATAGGTTTGTCATGACTGCCCTAAGCTGAGCTCCCTTCTCTATGGTTTCTTTCTTTCTTTTGGTACTGGGGATCGAACTTGGGTCCTTGTGCTTGTGAGGCAGGTGGCGGAACCACTGAGCTAAATCCCTGACCTGATTTATTTCACTTAGAGTTACTCCTTCACTCACGACAAGCTCAGGCTATCTTTTGGCACAAAAGAACAGGCTGTACAGGCTTTCTGCATTTAAAACATAGGGTTCTTGCTTACTGGTTAGATGATGAATTCAAGTTTCTTTAAAACAAAGGAAAGTTAGAGAAAGACTAACAACTTAAAAATAGTAAGTTATTCCATTTTTCTAAGAAATGCTTATCTGTCGCTAATAAGCAGTAAATGAGTTAAGTAGATCATTCTTGGTGCACACAACCCTTAAGAGTTTAAGTATCATTATATTCTTCACTCAAAAGTCTATTTTTCAATACAATGATCGGCCCACCCCAGTTGTGATATCTTGACAGATTCTACCCGACTTTCCTACCTTGTTTGAAACCAGAGTCCTTTCAGATAACCTTCCTTTTCCATCTCAGCCTAATTCCAAAAGGAATCAAAGCAAGGGAGGGAAAGAGGCTGCTAAGAGAAGGGTAGTTCACCATGAGCCACAAGGAGGAATGAAAGCCGGACAGGAGGTGAAAGAAGAAAATAAGCAGCTGGCCTTGGACAATAATAGCCACAGCAGCAGCAAGAGTGGTAAATAAGAGCTTAGGCTCACCTGGGCTTTAATCCCAGAGTTGCTATTGACAATGTATTTCTTCTTGCTGCTCAGCATAGTGACATTACCAGCTCTACTGCCACCTCTTTAGTCCAGGGACCCTTTCGGCCAGGCCTTTAAACTTTCCTCATCAGCAATTCTGTTGGCTCTGGTTCCAGCTGGCTTTTTTTTTTTTTTGAAGGGGGGCTATCCTTCCTTGAAATCTCTGAAGCAGTTCCAACAACCCCTTCAGTAGCACAGTCCTAATTTAATAAGGCAGTTCTGTTAGTGAGTGGCTCATCAGCCATTTTTAATTTTGGTAGCTCTTTTGGTTTTATTTTTTATTTTTTTTATAAACACCTAATTACATGGATCCTCTGACCTCTAAACCTTAACAGGTCCCTTGACAAGGCCCAACTTGCACATGCATACAATAGCTTATTTATATAACTAGTGCATTTTTTTGCCTGCTATAATTAACTTGCTAATTAGGTCCCTTTTTAACCTTACTGTCTCCTTTTCTGTGTCAGATGATTTTGGTTAACCTAATCTCATTAGAAGAATAAAATTAACTAAAAAGCCACTAAAACAATGAGGGATTTTATTAAGAGAATAAAAAAAATAATTGTGCCAAATGCTCATGCAGCCCCTTTTCTGTATTGTTGTTCCTTGGTTTAGCCAGACATGGGACAATGTTTTCAGCTCTAACACCAAGGAAATCAACTTTCTCGTTCTGTTTCTTTGTGTGTGTGTGTGGGGGGGGTGTTACTGGGGATTGAACCCAGGGCCTTTGCACTGAGCAATACCCCCAGCCTTTTAAATTTTTTATTTTGAGATAGGGTCTAAGTAAGCCACGCTCAAAATTTTTATCTTTCTGCCTTAGCCTTTCAGAGTATTGGGATTACACACACACACACGCGCACACACACACACACACACACACACACACTCACACACTGTTGCTGATTTGGCAATGAGTAACCTACTTCGCTCTTTTAAAAAACTGTGTTTCCTAGAAGATATGACTAGAAAGGATAGTTTCTTATCTGAGTTCCCAGAATCACAATGACCTTATTACATACCAAGAGTCAAACAAAAATGAAAAGAATCACATTACTATTTACGTGCAGATTTCTCAATGGGAACCCAATGAGTACAAAAGCTACACTGGACTGTCTGCTACAAGGATGGAGTTGGAAGTGATATAAATTTTTCAGAGGGAGGGTAGAAGAGAGAGAAAGAGGGGGGCTGTTTATTAAACACAAGAAAATGAGGTTAAGATCATATCACATAGTGTTTACTGACTTTGGGAGAAGGTGAAAAGAACTAATATTTATTAAGTGCCTAAACTAATATTTATTAAGTGCCCTGCATACATGTTACTTCTATTAATCTGTACAAGAAAGAAGTAGGCATTATTGGCCCTCATTTGACAAAACAAGGAAGAGCATTTCAGAAAGAACAAATGGTTTACCTGGGGTTTCACAGCAAGTAAGTGATGCACTGAAATTTGAGCTAAGATTATTACAGAGCTAAAGCTTTTTCCACTATACTGCACCTTAATATTGATCAGAAAAAAAAAAAAAAGAAAAGAAAAACTCCCCTGGCTCTATTCTCAGGGGCAACAGACCCAATTCATTCCTTTTAATTTATCTTTAAATTCACTTAATTTAAAATTCCTCTAAATTTATTTTCTTATCATTGGGTCTCAAAAATTATTACTCAGATGATCTTAGGGCCTGATTAAACCACAATTCTGAAAGAGTTAATCATGTAAGAATTAGAACTCTTGCAGGTAAGTGTGGTGGTACACAAATGTAATCCCAGAATATTGGGAGGTTGAGGAAAGAGGATTAAGAGTTCGAGATGAGCCTGGACTACACAGCAAGACCTTGTCTCAAAACAACAACAACAACAACAACAACACAACAGAACTAACAACCCTTTAATTGGCAACTCTGCCCAAATGTCACTACCAAAAAGTGGAAGCAGAAATTAACTGGACTGATAATACTGATGTTCACCATCTCCTGTGATAATTTTGATCTTTTATTTATAGTTTCACCAAGTGAGAGAAACCAATATTTTCCTACTTGTTTGATGACTCTCTAAGCTTCTGCTCCTTCTCACATGCTAAGCTGGTTCCTTGCTTTTCTCACACAGATGAGGAGGAATCTTTTGGTCCAATGGCTTAATCCCTAGACCCGAGCCAGAAAGAGCTGCAGATTTTTACCACATAAACCAGATGCCGCTTTATTAATGACATTAAAAGTCTTACCAGCTAAAAAGTTATCTAACAGAGTAGTTCTCAAACTTCAGGGTGCATCAAAATCATCTGAATGAGGCTTGCGATGTAGCTTAGCAGTATAGTGCTTGTCTAGCATGCACAGGCCATGGGTTTGATCCCCAGAACCACAACAAACAAACAAAAATACAACTGAAGGGTTTATCAAAGACATTGCCGGGTCCCACCTGCAGGGTTTCTGACTTACTAGGTCAAGGTGGGATCCAAGATCTTCTTTTCTAACAAGTCCCCAGGTGATACTGATGCAGCTCGGTTTGGGAGAAGCACTGCTCTAACACTTTCTCCAAACATGAACAAAGCAGCCTTGATCTTCTTGACTCTTCAGCCAACCATTTTATTCTATCCACAGCTACAACCATGGAGGCATATTCTGAGGCAGAAAAGGTTATTTGAAAGGCCAGAAAAAATAAATGCTGAGTGCTGGGCTTAACACCAGTACTTGTAACACAAGTATCTAAGAGACTAAACCAGTAGGATTGCCCCAAGTTCAAGGCCAGCCTCAGCTACATAGTGAGTTCAAGCCAGTCTGAACTATACAGTAAGACTGTCTCAAAACAGAATAAAGTAACACGTTATATGCAATACGAGGTCTAAAGAGAAATGGGTTTAATTCTGATTTCCTTAATTTAAGGCTTTTAAGAATAGATGGCTATATATTAAGAAAAACAATTCATAGGGAAGATGGAAGAACTTTTTCTCTTAAAAAGGACTGAGTCAAGAGAATCAAATTCATTTCTTTGCAAGTATGTGGCTATATTTTCATTTCTAAATATCTGCAACTCTTATTTGTAAAATGGGGAAAATAATATCTACTTTTCTATCTCAAAATGTGAGCTGATACAATAAAACAAGGAATGC